CACACGTGTGTGTGTGTGTGCGTGTGTGTGTGTGTGTGTGTGTGTGTGTGTGTGTGTGTGTGTGTGCGCGCCTGTGTGTGTGTGCGCGCCTGTGTGTGTGTGTGTGATGTGTGTGATGTGTGTGATGTGTGTGTGTGTGTGATGTGTGTGTGTGTGTGTGAATGTGTGTGTGTGTGCGCATGTGCCACGGGGAGTGGAGGGAGGACCCCTCCACCACTAATCAACCAATCAACCAATCAATCAATCAATCAATCAATCAATCAATCAATCAATCAATCAATCAACCAATCAGTCAATCAATCAATCAGTCAATCAATCAATCAATCAATCAATGAACCAATCAATCAATCAATTAATCAATCAATCAATCAATCAATCAATCAATTTATTTATTTTTCTATTTTTCTTATTTTTTTGTCACACACCAAAAACCACCCCCTAATTTTTTATTTTTTTTTGGCTTTGTATTTACAGGGCGATAACGGCCGACATGCGCAGGCCGCGCACGCATGCCGTTTTTTCGCGCGCGCCCCTGCCTGGGCCTGGCGCAGCCGTGCACAAACTCGGTCGGGCGGCCTCGGCCGCAGGCCCGCGGCCGGCCTCCTCGGCTGGCCTCCTCTGCCGCGGCCCAGGCCACAGGATCCGTGGCCGATGGTGCCACGTAGGCTGGAAGAGCCTCTGCCACTGCTCTCATAATCTCCTTCGTGCTTCGGAGTGCCTCTCTTCTGCCGCCAGCTTCCATCGCTCATCCGCTCATTCAACCATTCCCTGCAAGACGACCACATCCCTTGCGGGACGAAGGGGGGAATGGGGTGGTCTAGGAGGTGTGTAGGCCTGCGACCCTCAACTCCAGGACTCTCCTATTCAATCTGGCACCATCTATGGCATGCATTTTCCTTATTTTATCTGGATGAGACTAGTGCGGTAATTGTCCTACGTCTGTTTTAGTTGTCTTTTCACTTTTCGGTTACCAGCAATCAGGTAGCAGTAGCTATCGGACCTTCCCGTTCATTTCACTATTCGCACCTATAGATTTTGGATATCTACGGTGCGCTTATGTTTGGCAGTTTATCATTAGTGACACGCAATGTATACCGCCGTACGAGTACGGCCCGTCCGTACGTGCGGACTTCCGTACGTACGGCCCCCCCAGTGCCCGTTCGGCCCGTACATACGGACTTCCGGCCGTCCGTACATGACCTTCCGGAGGGGAGCTGAGGGGGTGGATGGGCTGGGGAGGGGTCGGGTGTCAGGGGGTATCCCCCCATTAAAAAAAAAAACTAGGTTACCAATGGTCCGGGGGCCGGTCGTCTCCCCCGGACGTCTCCCCCATATGTCCGGTACCCCCGTTGTTCGGGAAAAAAAGTTTTGTTTTTTTGTAAAAAAAAAAAATATTGTTTTTTCGGTTTTCGATTCTTAACTCATGATTGACTGCGAATTTGAACATGACTCTAAGGCAAAAGTTGCTTGTATTGTTATGTTACATAACATATATT